CTGGTGCCTTTTGGGTTTACAGGTGGGTTTTAGCAGGCTGGCACCCCTTTAGCGTGTTTCTCAATTGTTTACCTTCCCCGGGGCCTGGCTTTGAATCAGCTATTTCCTGAAACTGGTGGGGGCTATTAATGTTTAGTGTGCTCAGGCCTGACCTTTGTCACGGCCCCTGATAAGCTGCGTTGCTTATGCATTGTTACAAGACTGCGTACATTAAGGTTATATTTTTCTACAATTCTACTACTTATATTCTATGTCCCCCCTACATTTCAATTTATTTCCAACAAACTTACACCAGCACTGGGCTTGTAATATTCCTATTTATAATATTACTAGTTACTATTGCAAATGGAAGGTAAAGCAAATACAAAATGAGAATAAATTCAACCAAGTCTTTTTTTCCAATAGGGCTACCATAAAGCCTTGGTCAAATTAAAACTGAAAAAAAATACCGTGGATGACATTTCAGAGAGCCTGCGGCAAGCTGGGGGCAAGTTAAACTTTGACGAGCTTCGACAAGATCTCAAAGGGTAGGAATCGCACATCCGGACTCTCTGGGAAGTTCCTTCTTCTATAGATAAATTCTTGGTGATAAGGGTATTTCTGGCCCAAGTACTCATAAACCAGCACTGGGCTTGTAATATTCCTATTTATAATATTACTAGTTACTATTGCAAATGGAAGGTAAAGCAAATACAAAATGAGAATAAATTCAACCAAGTCTTTTTTTCCAATAGGGCTACCATAAAGCCTTGGTCAAATTAAAACTGAAAAAAAATACCGTGGATGACATTTCAGAGAGCCTGCGGCAAGCTGGGGGCAAGTTAAACTTTGACGAGCTTCGACAAGATCTCAAAGGGTAGGAATCGCACATCCGGACTCTCTGGGAAGTTCCTTCTTCTAAAGATAAATTCTTGGTGATAAGGGTATTTCTGGCCCAAGTACTCATAGAGAGACTTTTTTATCAGAGGCAGGTATTATTCTGGAACATATTATAAGAGGAGAACTGGCCCCCGTTCAGCAGTTTCTCCTTTCCTCCTGCATTCTGATGTCTCTGTGTTTGGATTGGACCATGTACAAGAATGAGTTCATTTGTATCCTCTCAATCATTTCAGGAAGGGCCATACTGATGCAGAGATTGAAGCAATATTCACAAAGTATGACCAAGATGGAGACCAAGAACTGACCGAACATGAACATCAGCAGATGAGAGATGACTTGGAAAAAGAGAGGGTGGGTCTAATTTAGGAGAACATGATTTAATTCAGCACCCACAATGTGTCAGACACTAATTAGTGGGCTACTGAGTGTCTCTCTCTCTGACTCAGTTTATGTATTAGTATCCTGCTTATTTCAAAAAGGATATTTAACACAATGATATATAAAAATAAATACAATGTGAGTATGACTGTAAAAAAGTCAAAATGAAGAGTGAGGCAAAGCAAAAGTAAAAATAATAGATTACAAATGAAGCTAAAAAATGTGTTCCATAAACACACATGCTTACATATGCTTATTAATATTGGGCTACAGATTTGGCCCTAAGCTTTCTAGTAATCAACTTGAAAAGAGAAGCCTGGTAAGTTGCATAGTTCACAATGTCCATGAGAATGAGAGAAAAAGAAAGAAAAAATCTTATCAGAAGATATAAAGTTATTCTGTTTAGTTAGTTGCTCTTTAAATATTAATATTTATAGTAAAAATTAAAATTAACAGCTGTCTTCCATTTGAATACTTAAGACAAAGTTAATAGTAAAAGTAAATGGACTTTTATAATCAGAAAAAAATAATTAAAAGCTTTACCATACACAAAGAATTACATTTGTAATGATATGCTAATTATCCTGATTTGATCATCACACATTGTACACATGTATTGATAGTCACTCTGTACACCACAAATATGTATAATCAATTATGTTTCAAATAAATACATAAATAAAAGCTTTACCATTAATTTTCAAAAATAAATGGTTAAACAAAAAAAAAAAAGACATGGTAATTGAGGTACAGAGAATACAGATTAGTGTTATACACTAAAGCCACTTTCCTATGAGGAGAAGTTTAGAATAGTGGTTTCTAAATGCTGTTCCACAGAACAGTGCCAGTAGGTGACAAATTTCACCAGTCATAGTGAAATGTAAACACACAGACAATGAGTAAAATTTTCACAAGGCTGTATTTAGTCAAAATTCTTATTCTGAGATTATTATATCCTTCCTACTTTGGAACTATTAAATGTGTGATCTTTTATGAAAATAAGATGATAATATATTTACTTACTTTTTTCTTTGTTGTGTTTTTAATGTTCTTTCTTATCCAAACAAAAAGTTAGTAACTCCTTGATGGTTGTTAAAATCTGCTTTGAAAATTGTCAACTCATGAAATTGAAAAAATGTGGGCATCGTAGTCTAGTGTTAACCACAAAGAAATCCTAGGTAAATGGCACACACTCATTTTCTACCTGCCCAAGCCCTCAGTGAAACTTCTGGGGGATCTCGGTGTTCCTGCTCCTCACTCGATGGCCCTGTGTTCTTCAGGAGGACCTGGACTTGGATCACAGCTCTTTACCACGTCCCATGAGCAGTCGAAGTTTCCCACGAAGCCTGGATGACTCTGAGGAGGATGATGATGAAGACAGTGGACATAGCTCCAGAAGGAGAGGAAGCATCTCCAGTGGGGTTTCTTACGAAGAGTTTCAAGTGTGAGTATAAGTGAATTAACAGAGTTTGGGTTGACAAGAGTTCAGATGGGGCCAAGCAATTTCCCCCATCTCTCTCAATTTACTCCTTTCCGTTACGAAGAGTTTCAAGTGTGAGTATAAGTGAATTAACAGAGTTTGGGTTGACAAGAGTTCAAATGGGGCCAAGCAATTTCCCCCATCTCTCTCAATTTACTCCTTTCCGTTACTATCCATCAGTTCTTTTTTATAACTTTTATTTTTTTCTTTATAAAAGTAACATGCCCATTATAGGAAAATTAGCAAATAAATAAAAGCAAAAGAAAACATAAAAGTCTTAGTCTCATATTTCTACCAACCAGAAATGTCTATTAATATTTTAGTGTTTAGACTGGCTGGTTAGCTCAGTTCGTTACAGTGCAGCCTTGTAACACCAAGATCACAGGTTCAGATCCCCATACCAGCCAGCCACCAAAAGCCATCAATGTTTTTATATGTTTCTGAGACTGGCTGGTTAGCTCAGTTCGTTACAGTGCAGCCTTGTAACACCAAGATCACAGGTTCAAATCCCCATACCAGCCAGCCACCAAAAGCCATCAATGTTTTTATATGTTTCTGTGGTCTAACATATGGTCTATCCTGGAGATTGTTCCACATACACTTGAGAAAAATGTATTCTGCCATTGAGGGGAGTGTTCTGCAGATGTTTGTTAGGTCTAGTTGGTTTATAGTTTTATTCAAGTCTCCATTTCCATGCTGATATTCTGCCTAGATGTTCTATCCATTTTTTAATATGGGGTATTAAAGTCTTCAACTATTATTAAAGTGTCTGTTTCTCCGTTCAGTTCTGTGAGGTTTTGCTTTGTGTATTTTGGAACTCTATTAGATGCACACCTGTTTATAATTAGTATATCTTCCTAATAGATTGATCCTATTTTCATTACAAGATGTCCCACTCTATCTGTAGTCAGATTTTTTGTTTTAAAGTCTTTTTTGTCTGATATTATTATAGTCACCTCAGCTTTTCTGTGGTTGCTATTTGCATGATATAGTCATGTGTCACTTAACAATGTTTTGAGAAATGCATTGTTAGGTCATTTTATCGTTGTGCAAACATCATAAAGTGTATGTACACAAACCTAAGTGGTATTGCCTACTACACAACTAGGCCATATGATATAGTTTATTGCTACAGCTAGTGTTGTACATGTGATACATCATTGACTAAAATGTCTTTATGAGGCACTTGACTATGTATCTTTTGCTATCCTTTTTTTTGGTGGCTGGCTGGTACAGGAATCCAAACCCTCGACCTTGCTGTTATAACACTGCACTCTAACCAGCCAGCCCGACCATCCTTTCACTTTCAACCAGTTTGTATCTTTGAATCTAAAGTGTGTCTCCTATTGACAGCATATAACTGGATCTTGTCTTTTATCTAGTTTGACAATCTCTGCCTGATTACATTGTTTAGTCCATTCACATTTAATGTTATTATTGATGTACTTGGATTCACATCTGCCATTTTACTTTTTGTTTTCTATATATCTTAGGTCTCTTTTATTCCTCTGTTCCTCCTTTACTGCTTTCTTTTACATTAAGTGAATATTTTCTATTATAACATTGTAATTCCTTTAATGACCTCTTCACTATTTTTTTAGTTCTTAGTGGTTGCTCTAGGACTTAATATATGCAAATTATGTTATGAGAAACTAGTTCAGGTTTATATTAATTTAGCTAATCCAGCAAGATATGTGTGTCATTCCTATATGGCTCTTTTCCCTTTTTCCTCTTTTTGTGTATATATGCATCTCTATATATTCATCTAGATATGTTACAAATTCAGCGTTACATTGTTATAATTATTATTGTAATAAGTTTATGTCTCTTAATAAAGCTGAGAGAAGAAGAAAAAGTTATTGTCAAATATATTACATTTCTATATCTTACAAGCCCAACAATCCAATTATGTACATATCTTATAAAGTTACTTTTTAAATCAATTAAAAAAAAGGAGTATACATTTATGCTGTATTTTATACTTACATAATTACCTTTACCAATGCTCTTTTTCTTGTGGATTCTAATTACCATCTGGAGTCACTTACTTTCAGCCTAAGATCTTCCCTTAGTATTTCTTATAAAGCAGGTCTGCTAGCAATGAATTCTCTGTTTTTGTTTATCTGGGAATGTTTTTATTTTGCCTTCATTTCCTCTGGTCTCCATTGTTTCTATCATTATTGATTTGAAAACAGCTGTTAATCTTACTGAGGTTCCCTTGTGCATGATGAGGTAATTTTCTCTTGCTGCTTTCAAGATTTTTTCTTTGTTTTTGTCTTTCAGTAGTTTTACTATGATATGTCTAGCTGTGGATCTCTGAGTTTATCCTACTTGGAGTTTTTTTAGCTTCTTGGATGTGTAAAATTTTTAGTCAAATTTGGGTTTTCAAACATTATTTCTTCAAATTTTTTTTCTGTTTTTTTCTCTGTCTCCTCTCCTTTGGGACTCCCATTATTCATATATTGGGCTGCTTAATGGTATCTCACATTTTTCTTAAGCTCTGTTCACTTTTCTTCATTCTCTTTTCTCTCTGTTCTTCAGATAGAATATCTCTACTAATCTATCTCCAAGGTCACTGATTCTTTCTTCTGCCAGTTCAAATGTCCATTGAGCTCTTGTAGTGAATTTTTCATTTTATTTATTGTACTTTTCAACTCTAGGATTTCTATTTGGTTTTTTAATCATCTCTATCAATCTGTTGTGTATGTGATTACATTCTCTATTTGATGAGTCTTTGTCATCATACTCTTTTCTTTTTCTAACCAGGTTTTCCTTCAGTTCTTTGAATATATTTATGATAGCTGCTTTGAAGTCCTTGTCTTCTAAGTCTGACATTTGGGCCCTCTCAAAACAGTTTCTGTTGCCTGCTTCCCCCCCCACCCCCACTTGTTTATGGGTCACATTTTCCTGCTTCTTTGCATGTCTCATAATTTTTTGTTGAAAACTGCACGTTAGATAATGTATTATAGCAACTCTGGATACCGATTCCCCTTCCCTGTAGGTCTGGTTTTTGTTCTTCTTTGCTTGTTTACTTATTATTTCTTTTTATTTATTATTTTTGGCAACTGGCCAGTACGGGGATTGAATCCTGGTCCTTGGTGTTATCAGCACCATGCTGTAACCAACTGAGCAAACCGGCAAGCCCTTTACTTACTTTCTAATGAAGTTAACACTATTTTTAGTGAAGTAAACACTGTATCCCCTACAGTGTGAAGCCTCCAATGTTGTTCTTCAGAGGGCATAGCCATAGCCATGCACACAGTCACCCTGGGAAGACGGTGGTTTTAGCAGGGTTCTCAGTGTCTTTCCCTGGTCTCTCATAAACCTTCTGCATCTGTTGGTATTTACACCCAGCATTGGGTTCTATCATTGGCTGATTGACTTACTGGTTTCAAAAATGCCTCAGGATACAAATTGTTCTCCAAAAAGTAATGGCTGAGGCTGGCTGGTTAGCTCAGTTGGTTAAAGCGAGATGTTATAACACCAAGGTCAAGGGTTCAGATCCCCATCCTGGCCAGAAACACACACACACACACGCACACGCACACACGCACACATGCACACATGCACACACACACACACACACACACACACACGTAATGCCTGAATGGAAAATAGAACTGTAAGGAACATGTAAGGTTATAACACCAAGGTCAAGGGTTCAGATCCCCATCCTGGCCAGAAACACACACACACACACACACGCACACACGCACACACGCACACACGCACACATGCACACATGCACACACACACACACACACACGTAATGCCTGAATGGAAAATAGAACTGTAAGGAACATGTAAATATAAACCTGAAATAAGTTGGTATTTATTTACAAAGTAAAAAAAAAAAAAAATTGTTCTAGAGTCTAATCCAATTACATTCAGGCACCTTTGCCAGGGTGGTTTTTGATAACACTCTTTAGCTGTCTTCTTAGCTGTCTTTCTTCTTAGCTGTCTCTTTCCATGGTTCTCTCAGGTAACTAGCTAGTGACTTATTTCTCTCATGAGGCCACCAGCCTCCTTTTAACAGCTTATTACAACAATGTCCATGGTTTTCAAGAGCACCCTTAGGCTTGAATTTCCTTACACTTTATTCCAAATAAAGTCAGTTCACTTGAGGAGAGCTCTCTATTCTTATGGCCTGCCTCACCCCCTGGGCAAAACCTTTGTGCCACTGTTCCAGATCTGGAGCCAGGGACAGTGGCCTACCCCTGCTTCATGAACAAGGCAGTGGCCTGGGATAGAAGCCTCTTGTCTTCTCATTTTGCCTCTCGTGGCATGGAAACTCCACCCTGTAAGTGGAGGCTGAGTGGAAGAAGAGAGCCCTCTACCTCTCAACTGCTCTTCCTTGGATTAGAGCCTCTAGAACACGGAGTTGAGGGGAGGGGGCACTGAGATGAGAAATACTGGCAGCCTGTCCACCCCACCCCCTGGGAGATACCATAGTTCTGGAGTGGGAACTGGGGGGAAGAGGCACTCCTGCATTCTCAGTTGAACCCACTGGAGTAGGCAATTCTGTTACAATGAGCTGAGGATAGGAGAGAGAGCAAGTGGATTGTGGCTCAAATACCACAGGCTTTTTTTTTTTTTTTTGTTTTTAGTGGCTGACTAGTATGGGGATCCGAACCCTTCACCTTGGTGTTATCAGCACAACACGACACTCTAATCAACTGAGCTAATCAGCCAGTCCCAGACTCTCACCCTTCTTATTAAAATTTAGTAGATTTCGGGGCCGGCCCATGGCTCACTCGGGAGAGTGCGGTGCTGATAACACCAAGGCCACGGGTTCGGATCCCACATAGGGATGGCCGGTTCGCTCACTGGCTGAGCGTGGTGCTGACATCACCAAGTCAAGTGTTAAGATCCCCTTACCGGTCATCTTAAAAAAAAGAAAAAGTCTGT